CCTATACTAGTCTAACTAGCAAATAAATTATTTATCAACTGGTCAGAAAAATCTCCTAACATGTTAGTGTATGAGTGGACAGTGAAATTCACAAAGTAAGTAACTATTTCTGTAAGTGCAGGTGTTCAATTGGATACATGTCTGGTGAGCGTGCAGGCCATGACCAGACGTCGACGTTGTTGGTGCAAAGGAAGTCCTGAACGATTCGGGCCGTATGGACGTTGTCGTGTTGTTGCGGAGAAGAACACCATGGGTCTGCTGTTGTAGGACGACGGGATGAAGGGTTTCATCAATGTACCGTTGAGCGGTTTGTTTCCATCAACGTTGATCAGTGGCGTTCTCTGCTCGCCATAGATCGCTCCCCTCACCACGACACTCCCTCCATCGAATGGTACGACCTCCTGCGTTCACTTCTGCGACGGTAACATTACACACTTTGCCTGCCATCAGCCGATGTTCAGCGGTCAACATGTGTCCTCTGTACAGCCTGTGCGCCATGATACCAATTGTCCGCAACCTCCTTGCCACTGTTGACCCGTGAAGATTCCGGGGTAGAATAGGTCTTCAGCAACCCACGCTTGCCATAAAAGGTGACTATGCTTGTCGTAAAAGGCGACTATGCTTGTCGTAAAAGGCGACTAACGGGATCGGGTGGTCAGGTTCGCTGACTTGGTTGATGCATGTCATCGATCCCATTTGCTTGGGTCGATGCTCATGATATTAATCACTGGATTATCTGGTCCAGACTCGATTATTTACAGACCGCCGTCATATAGCTGAAATATTGCTGAGTGCGGCGTTAAACAACCAACCAACCAACCAACCTTGCCACTGTTTGTTGGCTGACCATATGACCCGACGCATTCGCCGCTGTTGACGTCACTGTGAGGAAGTGATTGCGGAGAAGTGACGTACGCAAGTACCGGCCTTAAAAACAACAACAACCAAAACCAGTCTTCCTCGGGCGTGGCCATCCTGGGTCTTCCTGTTCTTGGCCTGTCCTATTCTGACCAGTCTGGCTGTACCGTTGCATCAAGTTGGTGGCAGGAACACGGGGACGGGGGACGGTTCTGGCTACGTGGGTGTGTGTTCTGTACCATACCGATTGCACGCTCGTATTGTTCGGGTTGTTATTCTTGTGGTGTGTTTTTTATCATTGTGAAGGTATGACATGACTACTGTATCCTTTGTTTAGCGTTGTTGCACGTGTATTTTCGTCAACCTTTTCGGCACGTGATTTTTCACTTTTCCCGGATTAAAAAAGCACATAGCATGCACACTCGGGTGTCACTTTCAGTATAAATTTAACTGCGTTTGGGCTGCGTTTCCGGTTGTTTGTGGTACATCTTGTCTTTTTTCTCTATACGGAATTCCGTTGTCAAAGTGGTAACGTTTCTTTGGACGTCAGTATATAATCAGCGCCACCAACAACCACTTTGTGATTGGATATAAGGCGCATCATAAATTGAAGTATTATTATCTTATTACTCATTAGCATTAAGATACCCCGTATACAGGACCCAAGAAAGTAAAAATATTTTTAATTCCCGAAAGAAAACTACCCACTCCAAATGTGATTGAAATTCAGTGGCTCAAATCATTATCTGGAGCCCATTGTTACCATTTAGAAATATAGCCTGTTCTATTTGGAAGTACACATAGAAATCGGTGCTTATAATTTCTCAGGTGTATATATGGACTCCACAGGATTTGGATGAAATTAATTATCATATCCGTAGATAAACTCTAGCTATTACCAAGACCTTAGCCATGGCTTCACCGGTACCCTATAAAAACGTTTTCATTGACATTTGCCGACAATTGGTTAATCAAGGTTGTCACTTTCACTGAATGTCAAAAGTGACTTAAAAGGTTATACATGACAGATACCTTGAACAAATATAAACTTATGATATTATTTTTATCATTTAACAACATGATTGGTACCAGCTTTAGGGAGAAGGCGCACACACATTCTGCAAATACGACCTTGACCCCACTAATCATCAGGGGTCATCTCTATTTTGGAGGTTAATTTGTTCACGGAACCACCTCCTGCGTGGGTTGTCCGGAAACCTACCAAGGACAGGTTATATTATGTATTGGAGAAAACACGCTCACGAGGTTTTGGTAGACAGAGCATGCCCTGGGGAGAGGGAAAAACCAGTGAGGCTTATCAACACCTCTGTAGCCTCGTGGTACACTCACTGGGCTACAGATATGAAGGTTGCGAATTCGATCCTCGGGAAGAAAACATTTGTCAATTGATTTTACATTTCATTACATGTAACAATCTGAACGGAAGTTATATTAATAAAATACCCAGGACATTATATAAAATCCCTGGGATATTATATAAAATCCCAGGGACATTACAACGTCCCTGTTTATGAGATTTAACCCGACTGGAAAGTAAAACCTCACAATAGGTTTTAATGCCTATAGAAAGAAATCTCTTACGTAATAGCGATCCCAATGAATAGGTTTATAAGCATAAATATTATGCGTAAAAGTTTTGCTAAAAGCGTGAATCGAACTTGAGTTAAAGTCTGGCATATCTCCTTGTGTGCACGAGTAAGGCCCCAGGGACGCTTTTTTAGCCTTCACAAAGGGAGGCGAGGTAGCCTTGTGGTTAAAGCGTTCGCTTCTCAAGCCGAAGGCCGGTTCGTTCCCCTCATGGGTGTAATGTGTGATGCTAATTTCTGTTGCCCTCCATCTGTGATATTGCTGTAATATTGACTCACTCATTCACTTGCTCCCCAACTCTCAGATCGTTGTCACACCCCAAGCAGACGACGGACAGCGGCGGTGAGAGAGAGAGTCCTTTTCCCCACAATACGTTCAGTCAGAGACCGTATATCAGTATATGGCATCTGGGCCCGTAACATAACTACCTACGTTATTATGTGCAATAACCCTGATAACTACAACAGATGTGCTTTGATTTAGTTGAAAACCTAATAAAATACAGTGCTGTTTAAACACAAACTACGCGTGATGGAGCGCTCTCAATAAAAACAAAACCAGGTGTTGACTCGAGCAACACACATGAAAGAAGGGACGTTTTCCCGCCACCCCCCCGCGGGACACGGTTACCCTTACTGTGTACTGTTGGCACACTTGGCGATACCAACACCTGCTTGACATGGGTTCGAATCCCAAATTCGCCCGACGCACCGGGTCCATAACGTGTGGTTTTAGTTTATTCTTCTTTTATGAAACCCTTGATCATTGGAGCACAGCTCCGTGACACTTGTCAGCCCCCATATACAGTCTGGTGGATTTCGCCTGCTGCACTTGTTCCTCCCACGCAAAGCCGACTGCAATAAGTGACTCTGTTCAAAGAGGCCTTAAACCTGACTCATTCAAAGAATAAAAGATAACAGGGTTCATAGAAAAGCTAAAACACTTTCAGGATAAACTGAGACACAGATTTGACAGGAAAGTGACCAGTATATGTACTTATACATATGTCATACAGTTGTTATCTGTTTAAGGGATAGAGTGAGTGAGTATGGTTTTACGCCGCTTTTAGCAATATTCCAGCAATATCACGGCGGGGGACACCAGAAATGGGCTTCACACATTGTACCCATGTCAGGAATCGAACCCGGGTCTTCGGTGTGACGAGCGAACGCTTTAACCACCAGGCTACCCGACCCCCCCCCCCCCCCCCCCCCCCCCCCCCTTAAGGGATAGAGAGGTGGTCTAGTTGACAGAGCGTTCACTCGTTACGCTCAAGGTTTGTGTTCTGTTCTGTTCTTCCTGTGTGCTAAATAGATGACATTAATGACATACTGCTGAAGGTGGTGTGAAACCTCACCTACTTACTCACTCGTGTAACGTTAATACATGTAAAAGGATTGGTCTGAATAATAATAATGAGCTACATTTTATATTGTGGCTAAACAAACAGGAAATGGTTATATGATCGTGCTGTATTTCATCCGTATCATAGCTGTGTTTTGGACCTCAAGTTTGCAGGGTTTCGCCGACTGTTTTCAGCCAAGTAAGGTTCGTAATATTTTGGTCAAATCTAATTTTCAAGCGTATGCTTTCTTTTTCCCGAGCAGTTGAATTGAAATGATAGTTATGTTATCGGAGCAACTGGTAAACATTGGTAAGTGAGCTGCCGACCATTTAATATTGTTGAGGGGTTCAGGATTGGGGCTGAAGGTTGGGGTTGGGGTTGGGGTTGGGGTTGGGGTGTTTGGGTTGGGAGCGGTTTGGTGTGTGTTGTGTTTGGGGATCGGGGTTAGGGGTTGAGGAGTGGCTGTGATGATTTTTGGAGGCGGAGTGTTTTTTTTCAATCGACGCTTCAAGACGTCCATTTTTATAACTGAAAAGGAGGATCCACAACATATGCAGGTTGCTTCAGAATAGTTTGTCCCGTAGAGTCTTTGTTGTTAGTGTGTTTATGCTCGATTGAACAGTATTTCTTTTCTGTTGCTGTGTGTCAGCTAAACATGAAAGGAAAGGATATAGGTCATAGACGTTTAGCAAACCCGCACACGAGCATGGTGTGGTCAAACCAAGAATGATAATCAGGGCAATTTAAGATTCGAAACCACAATTAATTGTCTCCGCGCGCCAGCTTAATATGAGAGGAAAGCGATGCAGGTCTAAGACGTTTACTAAACCCACGCACCAGTATGGTGTGGACAAACCAAGAATGATAATCAGGGCAATTTAAGATTCGAAACCACAATTCATTGTCTCTACGCGCCAGCTAAATATGAGAGGAAAGCGATACAGGTCTAAGACGTTTACTAAACCCACGCACCAGTATGGTGTGGACATGGTGCTCATAAACCAAAAATCACAATCAGGGCGAATATGAGATTCGAACCCACAATCAGCGGCTTCGGGCACAACTGAAGGACGCACCTCTGCATTGAAAATTGCGGCGACTTATACGACGGGGTCAACCGTGCGTTCATCTATATAAACTAAACTATAATCTAAACTTTAATATGTGTGTCAGAACAAACCATCTTCCGGAAGGACTTGAAAGAAGTTTATTTCAAAAGTTTCAAGTGTTCAACGAACGTTCTAATTTTGACAAGACCAACATGTTAAGCAGTATTAATGAGATAGATGGTTGTGATTATTTCCTGGAAACGTTCACATTGATCTGCCTCTCCGCCGTCTTCCCGTTCCGGCCTGTAGCGGTACAAAAGTAAGTTCCCTGATCTGCCCGAGTTACCGGAGCTATCTGGAACTCTCTCCACTGTACGTACTCGCTACTTGTGGACAGAACAGGTTCCAGAGAAGGTCCGTGTCTTCCCTTGCGCAGTTCAACATTCACGATGTCTGTCCCCACGCCGTTACATTCGATACTGCAGGAATATTGATGACAATCTTTCGCTGCCCCAAATACATCTGAGAGCGAGTAGACTCCGACAAAATCAGCGGGGAACGGTCCCACGTGACCTCTCTGCTTGACGTAGGCGACATCTGTCAAGCCAACGGTGGGCAGATAACCCCCGCTTTGAAACATACCATACACAAACACCAGCCCTTCTTCTGACGACAGGGTGAGACGAGATGACGCAACGGTTTTGGTGGCATCTCTGGAATGACGGAACGTCCTCCCTAACCTTCCACCAAGTGAGTCATATGGGGTAATTACTTGGACAGGTGGGTTGGTAGAAGTGCCATTGATTCCAACGAAAAACCACCCAATGTCTGGCCTTCTGTACAGGTCCGCGTCCTCTATCTCGATCTCCACGGACATGTCGAATGGCTCACCCGGGGTGTAGGAAATGGGATCGGGTGAAAATCGAATGGAAGGTTCTGACACGGCCAGGTCCCCATCTATTTCATTAAACACGTAGTAATATTCCGTCATGGAACCTCTCAGTTTCAGAGACACGAACAGACCATACACTGGGTTCCTGACAACCAGCTCCGACTGTCCTTGACCCTTACTGAACGTATCCGTGGCTGAGTCATCTGGAAATCAAGAGTTAAATCTTGCAGAGTAAGGGAATGACCAATCAATGCTCTGGTTAAAAACAATATTTTCCTTGCAACTGCTACAGTTATAATTCTGTCTCTCTCTTCATAAAAAAAACATTTTGTCAGGACAATCATTGAATAATTGTTTTTCCTGTATAACCTGACCCAAAGTTATTTAGAATGAGGGTGTTAGTTGGATTGAACGCCGCCTTGATCGAGTTTATTGGGTGATATTAAATCAATGTGGAGACATATACTATATCAGTTACTGCGCATGCGTGGATAGGTTATGAAGGGAGTGAGTAAGTGAGTGACTTGAGTGTGACACCAATTTGAACAGTGTTCAACAGTCGTGGCGTGTCAGCTTAATGTGGAAGGAAAGCCCGAAGTGATGCAGGTCTCAGAGGTTATTCATTTTGGTGAAATCAACGAGCACGGATATGATGCTAAAAAACCCACAAACATAACCGGGCTTCGAACCCGCAATCATCGGTTTCTGACGTACCGAAAGTGGTTGGGGGTTGAGGAGTGGCTGTGATGATTTTTGGAGGCGGAGTGGTTTTTTTCAATCGACGCTTCAAGACGTCCATTTTTTTTAACTGAAAAGGAGGATCCACAACATATGCAGGTTGCTTCAGAATAGTTTGTCCCATAGAGTCTTTGTTGTTAGTGTGTTTATGCTCGATTGAAGAGTATTTCTTTTCTGTTGCTGTGTGTCAGCTAAACATGAAAGGAAAGGATATAGGTCATAGACGTTTAGCAAACCCACACACGAGCATGGTGTGGTCAAACCAAGAATGATAATCAGGGCAATTTAAGATTCGAAACCACAATTAATTGTCTCCGCGCGCCAGCTAAATATGAGAGGAAAGCGATGCAGGTCTAAGACGTTTACTAAACCCACGCACCAGTATGGTGTGGACAAACCAAGAATGATAATCAGGGCAATTTAAGATTCGAAACCACAATTCATTGTCTCTGCGCGCCAGCTAAATATGAGAAGAAAGCGATGCAGGTCTAAGACGTTTACTAAACCCACGCACCAGTATGGTGTGGACATGGTGCTGATAAACCAAAAATCACAATCAGGGCGAATATGAGATTCGAACCCACAATCAGCGGCTTCGGGCACAACTGAAGGACGCACCTCTGCATTGAAAATTGCGGCGACTTATACGACGGGGTCAACCGTGCGTTCATCTATATAAACTAAACTATAATCTAAACTATAACATGTGTGTCAGAACAAACCATCTTCCGGAAGGACTTGAAAGAAGTTTATTTCAAAAGTTTCAAGTGTTCAACGAACGTTCTAATTTTGACAAGACCAACATGTTAAGCAGTATTAATGAGATAGATGGTTGTGATTATTTCCTGGAAACGTTCACATTGATCTGCCTCTCCGCCGTCTTCCCGTTCCGGCCTGTAGCGGTACAAAAGTAAGTTCCCTGATCTGCCCGAGTTACCGGAGCTATCTGGAACTCTCTCCACTGTACGTACTCGCTACTTGTGGACAGAACAGGTTCCAGAGAAGGTCCGTGTCTTCCCTTGCGCAGTTCAACATTCACGATGTCTGTCCCCACGCCGTTACAGTCGATACTGCAGGAATATTGATGACAATCTTTCGCTGCCCCAAATACATCTGAGAGCGAGTAGACTCCGACAAAATCAGCGGGGAACGGTCCCACGTGACCTCTCTGCTTGACGTAGGCGACATCTGTCAAGCCAACGGTGGGCAGATAACCCCCGCTTTGAAACATACCATACACAAACACCAGCCCTTCTTCTGACGACAGGGTGAGACGAGATGACGCAACGGTTTTGGTGGCATCTCTGGAATGACGGAACGTCCTCCCTAACCTTCCACCAAGTGAGTCATATGGGGTTATTACTTGGACAGGGGGGTTGGTAGAAGTGCCATTGATTCCAACGAAAAACCACCCAATGTCTGGCCTTCTGTACAGGTCCGCGTCCTCTATCTCGATCTCAACGGACATGTCGAATGGCTCACCCGGGGTGTAGGAAATGGGATCGGGTGAAAATCGAATGGAAGGTTTTGACACGGCCAGGTCCCCATTTATTTCATTAAACACGAAGAAATATTCCGTCATGGAACCTCTCAGTTTCAGAGACACGATCGGAAAATACACTGGGTTCCTGACAACCAGCTCCGACTGTCCTTGACCCTTACTGAACGTATCCGTGGCTGAGTCATCTGGAAATCAAGACGTTAAATCTTGCAGAGTAAGGGACTGACCCATCAATGTTCTGGGCTGGTTGGTTAAAAACAATATTTTCCTTGCAACTGCTACAGTTATAATTCTGTCTCTCTCTTCATAAAAAAAAACATTTTTTCAGGACAATCATTATAATTGTTTTTCCTGTATAACCTGACCCAAAGTTATTTAGAATGAGCGTGTTAGTTGGATTGAACGCCGCCTTGATCGAGTTTATTGGGTGATATTAAATCAATGTGGAGACATATACTATATCAGTTACTGCGCATGCGTGGATAGGTTATGAAGGGAGTGAGTAAGTGAGTGACTTGAGTGTGACACCACTTTGAACAGTGTTCCAGTCGCGGCGTGTCAGCTTAATGTGGAAGGAAAGCCCGAAGTGATGCAGGTCTCAGAGGTTATTCATTTTGGTGAAACCAACGAGCACGGATATGATGCTAACAAACCCATAAACATAACCGGGCTTCGAACCCGCATTCATCGGTTTCTGACGTACCGAAAGTGCGCAACTCTGCTCAGCGAATTGCGGCGCCTTAGACGACTGGGTCTAACGGGGCCCCAAAATAGTTTGAATTTTCTGAAGTTCTATGTAAGTACTTTTTGCGCCCCCATGGAAGCATCATGTTAACATATTATCAGCACTGTTCGCTGCTAACCGGATGAACGTGTCAGGCCGTTAGATATCACTTTGGAGCGTTTTGGGGTCACGTACGTGAATCACAAATTGGCTGTGTCAGGAAAATAACTTAATGACTTTATTGACTTTGTGAATGAATGAGAGGGCTAAATACTAAAACCAGTTCGAGGATGTTCGGTTTTGGATTGGAAATACATTATATGCATTGGTACAACATACTGGAATATAACATGTTGTACTTTATTCAATATGAATTACTTAAGTAAATTCCAACTTGTATTGAGTCGAAATATGGAAGTGAAGAAATGTTTTCGAAAAGTACATGTATATACATACAGCATACTTGTTTGATTATTTGTTGTTTAACGCCGCACTCAGCAATATTCCAGCTATATGACGGCGGTCTGTAAATAATGGAATCTGGACCAGACAATCCAGTGATTGACATCATGGGCATAGACTTACGTAATTGACCATCCGATCCCGTTAGTCGCCTCTTACGACAAACGTGGGGGAGTTCTAACCCGGGTCTTCACGGTTTAGCACACCTGTAGTGTTATAATACATGCATATTGATACTGCGGAAATATCTAATGTTTATATCATGGATGTGACCGCACCTCACTTACATATCAAATCTCCATATTTCCATGCAGCTTCCGCCTGAGTGGGACTCTCGTAGAGGATTGAGTATTTGACAAATCCGCCCTCTTCCACAGCTGAGATACTTAACGCTTTCAGTCTGGTAGGAGCGGTTGGAACACCCTGCGAAAAGATATGATTTGTTTAACATTAAAGTGATTACGGCTTCAAGGACGGTTTTCGGGAAGATAAGGTCAACAGATATTGGAGGCCTTATTGAAGGAATATACAGGTATCATGTTATTTAGCACATACAGTAAACTACGGTTATAACGAACTCAAAGGGACCACTAATTTTAGTTCGTTATAACCGTAGTTCGTTATAAACAGCATAACGACAGCAAATGGTCTGGACGAAAAAGTAGGTTCGTTATATCCGTCAGTTCGTTATAAGCGTGTTCGTTATAAACGTTGTTTACTGTATACCTATTCTGTTTTAAATTTCGAGGTGTTCGAAAGGTTCAAAACCAGTATGTAACATTTAGCGGTAGTTACTCAAAGATGAACCACCTCAAAATTTAAAAACTGAATAGGTCAATTTCCATTCTACCCTGACTAAAATGCGTTTTTAAAACGGACTCTTCTTGCGCACGCTTTCAGGGCAATGATGCGGTTGGAAGTGATTGTCGCTCATTAACAAAATTTAGAAAATTTAACCAATCAATTTAGATCACCCTTCGATGTCTAAAATGTATAATTCATACGCCTATTATTAATTCGACAATAACCTCCAAGCCCATACAATAAAATTTAAGAATGAAAGTGTAGTGTATGTTTCACTGGAATAGCCATGTCTTAACTGTTTGATTGGCATTCAAGAAGTTAGTGAGTAAATAAGGACACGAACTCGATGTATCACTCCAGCTTGATAACGGTGTAAGAATCTTCATAGAACGTCGCTTTGGGGGAAATCCAGATGATGTTGGTAGCTATTGTTACCAATGTGTGAATCACCGGCGTATAATTGTTACTTCCGGGTGGATGACACAGACTGTTACTTAAAGGTGTAGTTACAGTCACCACATAACTGACCCAAGGGTAGATCGCCATACATAAGTATCAAGTCTCAATGTGGATAGGGCCTTTTATTCTACGGTGACTGGTAGGCGTCGACCAAGAGTGTGACCGGGGATCCTGGATCGTGTGTCCGGTCGAGTCTCTTTCTTAAACCAGTACAATTAGTGCTTTTATTGTGTGACGTAAGAGCGCAAACTTCGCTAGACGATAAGGTTTTACCTTAATGATTTAACTTCTAACTTTATAATTTTTATGCTTTTAATTTATGCAAATCTGTATGTATATTTTGAAAACGTATACACGTAAAATAAGCTGTATGACTCTATTTCAGGATCATATAGTTGTCTGTTGAGTTACGAACCTTCTCTAAAATTAACTTCCACAATATCCTTGGGTAGACAAGAAACTCTCTAGAAACAGTTAGGACTGTTAATGTGGGAAAATTACAGGAATTTTTTATAAATATTGTATTACTATTGTATACCATATGTATGTGGTTAGAAATGATATAACTTGTGAAATAAAGGCATATTACAGACCGAAAACGTTCCAAAATCTTAAACAAGCTATGGATCAAATGTATAACGCGATTCGGACATAGTTCAGGGCCATTATCTCTTATTGTGCTGGTCAGGGAGGGTCAAGCAGCTCTCACACTTTGCCAAGGTGGTTGCCGAACTCTTCCGGGCCTAACTCGGTTAGGACTCGGGAAGAGACTACATATATACGAGTATCACACAAGTACGCTACGAGTGTGTTACGAGCCCCATAGGAGTCCAATAGTTGTCTAATAGGAGTCTATTAAGAGTTACATACGAGCACAACGATCTCATTACGACCTTACGACTTTGGTACGAGTTTGGTACGAGGTGGCAACTAGTATAGCTCGTCTTAGACTCGGTCAACTCGGCAATAAATTTTGCAGACGATCCTCATACGAGTTCTGTACGAGCATCACGAGGTCGCCACGAGGGTACTACGAGTAGGACGAGTGTATTCCGAGTTTGTTACGAGTTTGTAAGGTGTTGGCTGGCGGTCCGACTGTTTTGAGCAGTTCCAAAACTCTCGAAGATCAGTACGAGGTATCCGAGTTACCCCGAGATAATACGACCTCGCTACGAGCTCCATACGAGTCAGTGACCCCGGAGTCAGCTCGGGTCCATACGCAACTCGGCAAAGTGTGAGAGCCCCTTTATGCCAACTTATGACGTTAAGACATGTATCCATCATCTAAACTGATTAAAGCCCCAGGTGCATCTATCATGATGAAATATTGGTATAACTGTGTCCATATTTCCCATGTTAACAGCACCATAACATTTAAATGGTGAACACAATTCACTGACACCTGACACACTCACCGACATAATCAAACTTATTAATAGTTCAATTTCCGACGATGTTAAATAGATATTAGCTGAAATTCTAAGACATGGATCCACCCATCGCAATCAATTTTCTTTGAGTTTATTTATTTGTTGATTAACCGCCGCACTCAGGAATATTCTGTAAATAATCGAGTCTGGGCCAGACAATCCAGTGATTGACATCATGCATGGCGATCTAGGCAATTGGGATACGATGACACGCATCAACCAAGTCAACGAGCCTGACCACCCGATCCCATTAGTCAGCTCTTACCACAAGCATGGCTTGTTGAAGACGTATTGTCACGCGGATCATCACGAGTCTCAACTATAAGTACAAAGTTAGACTGTAAAGTTTGTGTATATAGAAACGCTGATGTAGAGGAACTTCGCCAAAAACGTGTTCTCAAACTGCTATATACCGGTTAAGTGTTGAGGAAGCTTTGTTGACAGTTCGTGGCGTGTTCGTACATCGTGGATACATGGGTTCAAACGTTTTGTTAATGTTGCAACATATCGATAAACAAATAAGCTATCAATTGTTCACATGGAACCCTCACACGCTAATCGATAGTGAGTGAGTGAGTATGGTTTTACGCCGCTTTTAGCAATATTCCAGCAATATCACGGCTGGGGACACCAGAAATGGGTTTCACACATTGTACCCATGTCGGGAATCGAACCCGGGTCTTCGGCGTGACGAGCGAACACTTTAACCACTAGGCTACCCGACCGCCCCGATTTGTGCTTATAAGCTGAGGCCCAAGAGAAATTTTACCAGAGATATAATTAACCCCGTTATAAAGAAGCAAATAATAGAGGCATGACATAAATGTATTTAATAGATAAATTTGTCCACCTCATCCATTCGGGAAATGTAAAATGTATAAAAACATCAACACCAGATAATAATCAGTCTCGATTATCCGCCGAAACAGATTTCATTGGACGCAAAAAGCTAAATAGCTCTGAAATGTATAATTTGAATGAATCGCTTAGAGTCAGTGATGACACCAGGTGTTCAAGAAAAAAGGTACTCATGCCCTGTCCTACTGCTGTCGTCACAAATATAAATTTTCCTGTTCACTATTAACTTATGTTTTATGTTTTTCATTGTATCAACTTCGTTATTAGTCCTGGTGCTCATGGTATATGTATGACGTATGCATGCGAATCTGATTTGCACATCTTATGTCCATATGCACTATACGCCTTATCCATCTTTGACTTAATGACAAATGAAATGCACTATATTAAGTGTGTTTAAATTCTTAACATGTTTTAATTATTAGGTTACCACATAATGATATTCGTTTTGTCGTAAACATTTTAAAATTCTTAACATGCTAACGTTTAAAAACGTTTCACTTCTAAACATGTTTAGATTATTGGGTGGGTCTGTTCAGGTGATGTTTAGGCTGTAAGACGATAGCCTATTTTATGGGTTTAGATCCTAAACGTGTTTAGATACAACACACTAAATGTGTATTCCGTTTAGGATTTAAACACATTCCTAAACATGTTTTGTGTGTGTTTACATTTTACAGTTTAATTTCTTAACATGTTAACGTTTAAAAACGTTTCACTTCTAAACATGTTTAGATTATTGGGTGGGTCTGTTCAGGTGGTGTTTAGGCTGTAAGACGATAGCCTATTTTATGGGTTCAGATCCTAAACGTGTTTAGATACAACACACTAAATGTGTATTCCGTTTAGGATTTAAACACATTCCTAAACATGTTTTGTGTGTGTTTACATTTTACAGTCTAATTTCTTAACGTTTAAAAACGTTTCACTTCTAAACATGTTTAGATTATTGGGTGGGTCTGTTCAGGTGGTGTTTAGGCTGTAAGACGATAGCCTATTTTATGGGTTTAGACCCTAAACGTGTTTAGATACAACACACTAAATGTAGGATTTAAACACATTCCTAAACATGTTTAAATCTAAACATGTCTTGTGTGTGTTTACATTTTACAGTGTAAAGTTCAATATGTTACTTATTTACCTTTGCATTCGTTTTGATCCAAAAACCTTCATTGAAGAGACACATCATGGCATGCATTGAGAACACGTTGTCTAAATTATCGGACAATAATTTGGAGTACCCACACTCTATTGTTTAACACCCCAAGAACCTGATGAATATTTTTACTCATTAAAATCAGATCATTTACTCCAATGAGATACGTTGACGGAGTGAAATATCTTATTTTAATAAGTCATAATAAAACGTTCAACTTTATGGATAACAACTTATGATTTATTGCATATAGCAACGTTTCGATGTAGATTCTTACACATTTATTAGGCTAGAGTGATAATCATTCCAATGTGTATACTAGTACATCGTGATAGTCTGACGCACAGTCCCCGAACCATATTAAATTTTTTCCAGCCCACCCCTGTAATGCCATTATCTCCAAACGAAGCAAGTCTAGAATCATGTTTGAATACGCCATCTCACTGAGGCTTCTTTACAATTTAAATGTAGTTATTTGTTTCTTTTAAGCTAATATATTCCTGAAGCGAAGGTTTACTTACTGAACATAGCGTTGATACCAGCAGCACAGTGACAGCAGAGAGCGGCGCCATCATTACGGTTCCCAGGGTAACCTTCTATGTGATTAAGGACTTACAACTCGACGTTATATCCGGCCATTTCATCCACTGACATTCAGCGGATCCATCCACGAAAGTAAAAATAGATTACGAATTTCAAACTTTAAAGTCGTGCATGCCACATCTATGTACCTATGACATTGATTGCATTTTAATAATAAATGTCTAAATTACCACAGGTCATCGTTGAACCGCTGGCGGAAGGGGACTGCAGATGGTTGTAAATACTGAGTCATATATGATGCGAAGAAACTGAGGAATCAAATCGCTTTTTTTCATTACATCGATTTCAGTTTCTGTATTTCAAGAGTGTGTCGCTTTGTAAATAAAAACAAATGTTTCGCCAGAAAATGAATACTGGCTAGGGTTTCCAGAATTGGCTGGTTTATATGGAAACTTGTTTCCTGGCGTGTAGTAACGACTTAATGCAGAAAAGGCATGTAAGTGAATATAAATAATTTAACTACTGACATCTGACTTTCTTAACAGCTTGAAAATGGTACTTTAATATGTAAAAGTACCAAGTGTTTAAGGGCACATTGATAATAATGGGGGGTGGGGGTGGGGGTGGGGGTGGGGGTGGGGGTGGGTGTGTGTGTGTGTGTACACGTTTAGACTCTAAACGGTGTAGCTGTTAAACACAACCCTTAACATGTTAAGACCTAAACATGCCAAATGTATGGGACAATGGCGTGTTTATGTTTGTTTTTAGGATCTAAACATATGAGAGCGGGTCAGGACTCAACCCAAAAAAGTCCGAGAATCTGTACTTACAAAGAAAGTGTCATCCCAAATATGACATTTGTTACATTTGACCACTTTCTAAATGGCATTGTGTGTTTATAGCTTTCGGCCATGGGAACCGTGCCAGTTTACACTTGTCAGAGTGGTACACAAAGTGCGTGATCTAGACTACCAGTTTTCAGACTTTCATTTTTGTGGAAGACTCGGTGGCTGAGTGGGTTAGATCGCTGACTTTATGTGCTGGCGATTAGGTGCCTCCCCCGGACGTGACTCAACCCAAAAATGTACGAGAATCTGTACTTTACAAAGAGTTACAAGGCATTTGTTAAACATATCTCATTATTACTATTATTTGTAATGAAGGATATAATCATAATGGCCGGAAGCAATCACACAAGCTCCGATCAGCGGTATATAACCTACTGTCAAAAGGGCATTGCGGACACCACTGGAGACGCGACATGGTAGTCACAATGATCGTCCACCTAGTGTGCGCCGTACTCACCACAGCCCTCTGTAAAGTAGGTATAGTGTTTCATCTCTGTCAGCCACTTAATGTCAGTACCAGCTCTATTGCGACTTTTCATGCATTCAACTGATTTTCTTACAAAAGCCTTCTTACACAGTGTCAAATGGGCGAACGTTTTGGCTGACAACTTAAAATCCCGAAGGCTTAATCTGTTCTATCTAATTTCTCGCAAAGATTTTGTTTTTGTTTGTTTGTTGTTTTACGCCGTACTTATCAATATTCCAGCTATATGACGGCGGTCTGAATCAATCCAGTGATTGACACCATGCATCGATCCACGCAATCGGAATACGATGACATGCATCAATCAAGTCAGCGAGTCTGACCACCCGTACCCGTAGGTCGCCTCTTGGTTACCGAAAGAATGGGTTTCTGAAGATCTTCACTCATTGGAGGTCAACTACACAACTACACAAAAAATATGTAAGAAATCACGTGACGGGGGAAACTTATATATAATAAATCTCGTGACGGCGGAAACTAAATATTTTCACTCGTGGCTGCATCACACGTGAAAATATATCCTTTCCCCGTCACCAAATGAGAGAACCATGATATTTCATTCGACACATGAAATATCCTCTATTTTAGTAGAAAAAAACCTGTTATCTAGATACATTTCCTTGTTTCCCAGAGACATGTTACATTGTAAATTTAACTTGACAAGCAGAATAGCAGTCAGTGTGGTTGTAAACGCACTAATGACAACGCCGTCCCTACTCACCTGAGTAATTACCAGACCACTGCTCGTACTGTACCAACCCGACACAAACTGCCCTGTTCAGGATAATTTCGTTCATCTCGCTAATGAGCTTTTGTTAGCGTAACCAGGTCATAAACATACAAGAAAAAATATTTTCTTGTAGGTTTATTATTATTTAATGTATATTAAGGATTATATTTATATCCGTAATACAGATTATAAATCATATGACTTATTTTAGTTATTATTTGTGTCTCAAATCAATGTACGTCTGTGTAACTATGCAGACAAAACGTGTGGTAGATGATTAAATAAATGCATGTGAGTCATTTTTGGTTAAGTAGAAAATATGATAAGTAGAGATTTTTCTCAGGTTCCTACCCATTCTCCTTATCGGGATTTCACTGAAGTATCATCTGCACAGCTATACTAACATATAACTGTTAACACGCCCACACTTTGAATACGCATGTGAGGTGTGGACTGGATGCGGAAGGACAAATTGAAAAATTAGAACAATTACAATTTGAAGCTGAACGCATTGTAACTGGTCTACCTTAATATCCCCCCCCCCCCCCCCCCCCCCCCCACCCCCCCCCTTCATTATGTTACTAAATCGGCTGGGAACCCTTAGTTGAGCGTAGAAAGAAACGTAAACTTTGTCTTTTCTTCAGAAATTGTCATAACATGGTTCCGTGCTATATGACAGATATTCTTCTTATTTATGTCTCTTCAACAGTGTTATATATATATCGAAATTGTGAAGACCGCCTCCGTGGTATAGTGGTAGAGCGTCTGCCCGGAGAGCACTGTAAAATTAGTCCAGACTAGTATAAGCAGCCACGCACGCACGCACGCACGCACACACGCACACATACAATTGCCAAATTCCGTTCACTTTTTATGAATAAACATGTTTTAATCAAATCAGCGGAAAGTCAATTCGCAAAAGTCTGTTTTTCTGAAAACTGCAGTTGAACATTAGCATCAATGTTTTTTATCCTTTGTAATATCGGCTGTTTTGACAACTGAAGTTGAATATATGAAATTTGAAAGAAAATGATCTTTAGTCTATTTGATATTCTTTTCTGACAACTGAAGTTGAATGAATGAAATATAAAGCAACATTCTTCAGAATCAGTCGTTCGACCAGCAGTTTTTGTAGATTGAATGTTCAACTTAATGACTTCTGCTGAATGTGACCAAGTAGGAGACATTTGGTGCAGAAGTTGGTGGTGGTGTGTTTAGTCCCCAAAAGAACTGGCTAAATTGGACAAATATTTTTTTATTGCTGCTTTAAGGCCAGGCTGCGCACTTGCACAAGTAATTTAATAATGCCCAGTTATTTTTGGAAAAAAAGTGTAAGGTTTCCATAGAAGTCTATGGGAAAACATTTTAACCTTTCGCCAATGGAACATCCGTGAGAGGCATACAGGGACTCCCTTGACAAAATACCGAGGGACGTATATCAACTGAGTGAAGCCTTAATAAAATATCCAGTTATTACCATCTACAGATATTATCTGTTCTGAAATAGCGATGTCACATGACAAAACACCCTCAACAGGTTTGATTGCTTGTTTGTTTAAAGCCACACTCAACAATATTCCAGCTATATGACGGTGGTCTGTAAGTAATCTAGTATGAACCACACATTCCTTCTACTGACTTCTTGAACATCGCTCTTTGCAATAGGGATAAGATGACATGCAGCAACCACGTCAACGAGTCTGACCACCCTATTCGGATTGTCACCTCTTACGACAAGCATGGTTTGCTGAAGACCAATTCGAGTCCGGATCTTCACGTGTTAATAAATGCTGTATGTTTCAACTATCTGTTACAGCGTTGCTATATGTTTCAGCTATCGGTTTTAATGGTTCTATATGTTTCAACTATCTGTTATAACAGTTCTATATGTTTCAACTATGTTATAACAGTTCTATATGTTTCAACTATCTGTTATAACAGTTCTATATGTTTCAACTATCTGTTTTAATGGTTCTATAAGTTTCAACTATCTGTTATAACAGTTCTATATGTTTCAACTATCTGTTTTAATGGTTCTATATGTTTCAACTATGTGTTATAACAGTTCTATATGTTTCAACTATCTGTTTAAATGGTTCTATAAGTTTCAACTATCTGTTATAACAGTTCTATATGTTTCAACTATCTGTTATAACAGTTCTATTTGTTTCAACTATCTGTTATAACAGTTCTATATGTTTCAACTATCTGTTTTAACAGTTTTCTATGTTTCAACTATCTGTTATAACAGTTCTATATGTTTCAACTGTCTGTTATAACAGTTCCATATGTTTCAACTGTCTGTTATAACGGTTCTTTGTGTTTCAACTTCCCGTTATTACAGTTCTTTGTTTTAGCTGTCTGTTATACGTTGCTATATGTTTTTCGCTTTAAATTTTTGGAGAAGAGCTGAGCGTGGCGTTAACACAAACTCTCTCATCCCCTGGAACACATACTATGGTACCTGTGTTTTCAGGGATATCCCACCGACCCGGGCCGGCTGAGGGTGCTCAGTATCTCAACTGAACAGGAGGAGGGATCATTCAAGTACTCCGTCCAATACAGGAACTCCATCCAAGCAAACGTTCTCTGGGAGGTCGCGCATAATGCAGGCTTGATTGGAAGTGTATTAGGTAAGATTACACTCAGAAGTACTTCTGTCGAGAGGGAGTGGGGAGTCGGGGAGTCGGGGGGAATGGGGCTTTACATTAACGAGTATTCATAATTATATCAGTTCTGTTCCCAATACAACAGGTGTACCCTAATGTACAATTCCACATCAAAGGGTACGATGGCGCCTGAGTTACGTACGAAGTAAAATTAACTATTCACACGCAGAATTTATTACAAGCATGAATGCCTATTTCTTCCAAAATTCCAAAAATGACATTCTGAGAAATGTTAATGTTATGTAAAAAAAGCGTTCGGTTAAATGATTTGAGGGTTTAAGATTTCAGTGTCGTTATTCCAGGACAGAATAGGCTCCCGTTTGCCTTGATTATGTATAGGCCGCCGTGAAGTATATCATGATCACTCATGCACTTCACACTACCTGCAATGTAAAGACTAACGGAAATAGGTATGGTTTGCTGCTTGATAATGATGGTACTTACAGGAAACATGTTATATTCAGTTGTATTGTGCGGTTGGTTGATATCATTGTACTCAGATCTGCAGCTGTAGCGTTAGTATTCGAGGGGATATCAACAGGTTTTAAGCCTAGCATACACAGAGCTGAAATATTGTCGTGAGCCTTAACATTAGCCCCCTTGCTGCTTAATACACTGGTTCCTGTCCCTGTTTGTAGATCTCAAATCCTGTGCCCCGTTCCCCAAACTCCCATACTTAATCATAGGCTTACGATCAACGTAGCACTAAGATCGTTTTGTGGAACGGGGCCCTGGTCTGTCAACCAGCCCCCAGGAGCACCCGATTCTTGGTCCTCCTTAAATTTCTAACCAAGGAAGTGTCATTTTCAAATTTGCATTTTGTTTGAATAGTTGGCATAGTATTCACCATTCATAGTTGTTTCCCGTGGTAATTTATCGTGTCTGTTGTGCATTTACTGTCCCCCAACTGAATCTGGTTTTGGGAGACCCGAGTTGTTGATTCTTGTTTGATTTCGGATGATAGTGATGGGTCCAGGTATCATCGCCTGTCTCCAGCCTAACCTAGAACTCTTCTGGCATGGGTTGCCATCATGTCTGGTTCCGACAAGAGCTGGGATATTCTTCCAAACTACCTCTGCCAAACCGGAATTCCTTCAGCCAACATATTATGGCATATGATGGGGCATCCTCGGTCCTATGATGGGGCATCCACCGTCTTCTGATGGGTCATCCTCGGTCTTATGATGGGGCATCCACCGTCTTATGATGGGTCATCCTCGGTCTTATGATGGGGCATCCACCGTCTTATGATGAGGCATCCTCGGTCCTATGATGGGGCATCCACCGTCTTATGATGGGGCATCCTCGGTCCTATGATGGGGCATCCACCGTCTTATGATGGGGCATCCTCGATGGTTTGCAACCGTTCGTCATTATTCTGTGGTGAATGAACTTTAGGGTAAACACTGGATCTGTTTCAATGCTACTTCGTAGGCTCCCTCAGTCCAAGCCATTTGTCAGCAAGTCACTGGACTAAAGCACGCCAATTTGTGAAAGAAGATTCAACAGTCCCAGGACCATACTAATATAGGTTACGCGTTAGCATAACAACAACAGTGATATTGCTGGAATATTGCTTAAAGCGGCGTAAAACCATACTCACTCACCATGACACCAACCTAGATATTTAAAGCTAGAAACATTCCTGGGACCCCCTCATAGATTGACAATGCTGTTATTGAGTGAGTGAGTGAGTGAGTGAGTGAGTGAGTGAGTGAGTGAGTGAGTGAGTGAGTGAGTGAGTGAGTGAGTGAGTGAGTGAGTGAGTGAGTGAGTGAGTGAGTGACAAAGAGTTTACGTGGTTATCGGCAATATTCCAGCCACATCACGGCAGAAGACACCAACAACTGGCCATACACTTTGTCCAAATGTTGGGAGTAATGACACATACAAATATGAATGCAGAATTACTGCGCGTTCGGTTCCAAAATAGGCGGGTGGTGGAGTAGCCTTGTGGGTGGTTAAAGCGTTCGCTCGTCATGGGGAAGACCTGGGTTCGATTCCCCACATCGGCACAATGTATGAAGTCCATTTCTGGCATTCCCCGTGATATTACTGGATTATAGCTATAAGTGGTGTTAAACCATACTCGATCACTTCAAAAAAGATAGTTAAAAATACAGGTAACCTGGCCCTACATTGAATGCTTATCTCCTTGAGCAACGACACATTCCATTGCGTTCGATGACACACTATCTTGTAACACTTAACTGGTAACACCTAGAAGCCACACGATCCTCATTTGTCGGGTCATTACACAAGGATTTGCAACATACATGTGTGACGTGTTATGCCCCGGAAGCCCCTACTGGTGAACGATACATTCGGCATGCTATATTGTGTTTGTTGTAGACGCTGATGTCTACGATATAACAGAACAGTTCAGTGGTGGAGTGGGATGGTCGGTGCTAACGTCCAATATTGAGATTCCAAGAGCGAGCGCGGATCTGTACACCAACGATGCAATGACGAGCTTCATGGTTCTATTCGAGGGGGTGACAGGAAACCAAACAGTACAAGGAAATGAGATTCGATTTCCCTTGGGTCAAGATTTTTCTTACACTCCCGGCGAGCCTCTGGACATCGTAGCACAGTTCGCCTATGGGGACGATTATAACATTAATGTAGAACGGGATATAAACTGGGTCTTCTTAGGTATTGATAACAACCGTATGACGCCAGTGCTAGAAATGGCATCCAATTACAACCCTATTGGTCGTCATTTTGTTCCATTTGTCAATACAACTCAAGGAAAGGGCTTCACCGAAGTCTCCGCTACAGTGAATCTGACGTCGCAGGAAGGTATAGTCTTTATTCATGAAGTTGTTTATTTTGATACTGTAGTGTTCTTTCAATAACCAAGAGACAACCTGCCAACTTCCCACTTCGTTTATTTCTCATACGACAAGTGACAATCGGTAGCCAAGCCCGAGCACGCATTGCACGTGCGTTACGTAACAACGTTTTCCGAACCACTGATTACATTACATGAACGACTTCTGTTTACCATCAGAATTTATCAAACAAAACCCTAATATTTTACACTTTTCCCCCTGAAAAATATACAAACATAACATAACCTGAAATAATAGTACGATCTTACTGCCGTTTCATAAGCAAAGTATCCAAATCAATGTTTATCGTTGAAACACAAATGTCACACTGACCTAAAATGCGGTCAGTAGGTCAATACCTCAATCCAGTGTCAACACACGAATACACTATACGAGGTCACTATGACAGGATTGTTACAAGGTCTGTGACTCAGGTATTTAAGATGCCAGCAGTGTTAATGTGACACTAACAGTTCAATAAGACAGTCTATCTGGTTTCTTCCTCTCCCTAACAGGATATCTTCGGTTCGCTGTTTCTGTGACAGGTACAATTTCAGCCTCTGGGGGCCTTGTCCCAGGTGGAACACTCTCCACCCCGATTTCCCCAGGAAATGACCCCTTGGTACTTTCAACTGGAATCTTCTCTACCCCAGACATTTGCGCACTTTCAGACCTATCAGGGATTGTTATGTCCTCAGTAGTGGATGTTACTGATAGATCAGGCGTACCTGGCATAGTTATCAGCTGATCAACATGGCGCTTCCACTCAAAGTTCTCTACCTGAACCTTGTAAGTCACAGGACCTAATGCTTTAAGTACAACCCCCTGGAGCCATTGTTCGGTACGTCCCCTGTAGTCCCTCACCAGGACTGGGTCGCCAACTTCGAAATGCCTCCCAGCATCCACTTTCGGAGACACTTTTCTTTGAACTGAAGAAGCAAGATCTGGTCTCAGCAAGTCGAGTCGAGTTCTGCAGGGGTCGTTTTCGTTGTACTGTGAGGTGTGGTTCGGTAGGACTGCACAGTCGCTGTTGAAGAGTAGACGTAGATGCCCTCATGGATTTCATAGTAGTCTTAAACGTTCTGACGAATCGTTCTGCCTCACCATTAGAGCTTGGGTGGTACGTCGAGGACAGAATATGTTTTACTCCATTTTTCTTCAGAAATGTCTTGAACTCGTGAGAGGTAAACTGAGGTCCATTGTCAGAGATTAGCTGATCGGGAAGGACATAAGAAGAAAAGAGCTTTCTCAAAACATTTATGGTACTTATTGTTGTTGTTGATTTCATCTGAACTACTTCAGGCCATTTGGACATAGCATCCACCACAATAAGAAAGTTCTCACCCATAAAGGGGCCAGCAAAGTCAACGTGAATCCGTTGATAAGGACGGGAAGGCCAGATCCAGGGATTCTGTCTGGTTGTAGGTGGGACCGGTTGTACACTTTGACAAGATGCACAGTTTCTAACTAGCTGCTCTATGTCCGTATCCAAATTTGGCCACCACACATGAACCCTTGCTCGAGATTTCATGCGAACAATCCCCGGATGAGAGTCATGAAGATTATCCAAAATCTCAACTCGGTACTGAGTGGGTACTACTACTCTCACTCCCCAAAGTAAGCAGCCCTCTTCACATGTCAACTCGTCCTTCCTTCTATAATACGGAAGGAATTCAGGAGAAATATCTCCTACTGAAGGCCAACCACAAACAGTGAAATGTTTCACTCGAGATAGCACTTTGTCTCGTACATTTGCAGCTGATATGTCTCTGGATGTAACAGGCAGATTATCTAGCTGAGCAATATGCACTGAAGTAGCTTCTCGTGTCCAAAATGTGTGTGAAGTGGATTTCTGACCATCGGTATCTGCTAATGGTAATCTGGAAAGGCAATCTGCATTAGCATTTTGTTTCGTGGATTTATACTTGATCTCGTAAGTGTAAGCTGATAGCTGGATGGCCCACCTCTGCAGTCTTGATGCAGCAAGTACAGGAATTCCTGTTTTAGGTCCAATAATACTTGTTAGTGGCTTGTGGTCCGTAAACAGGGTGAAATGTCTCCCATACAAGTACTTATGGAATTTCTGGATTCCAAAAATGATAGCCAAAGCCTCTTTCTCAATCTGAGAGTAGTTTTTCTCAGCGGCTGTCAGAGTTCGTGAAGCAAACGCTATAGGTCGTTCCCCAGAATTTGTATCATGAGAAATGACTGCACCTAAACCATGCTGAGATGCATCAGCCGCCAAGATCAGAGGCTGTTTTGGGTCATAATGCACTAGTACATCAGATGTAGTCAAATGCTTACACAGTTTCTGAAAGGCTTTCTCACACGAGCTGTCCCAATGAAACTTTGTTCCTTTCTGCAGAAGTTTATTTAATGGTGCACACACTGTGGACATACCTGGTATAAACTTCTGGTAATAGTTCACACACCCCAAAAAGGATTGTAGTTCTGTCAGATTTGTTGGTCGCGGTGCATTCCGGATTGCTACAATCTTGGATTCCGTCGGATGAATACCTTGACTGTCCACTCTGAAACCAAGGTACTCCATAGATGGTTGCAGGAAAGTACACTTCGACTTGTTTAGTTTGATGCCATAAGAATCCAAACGTTCAAACACATTATCAATGTGCTTCAGGTGTTTACTGTCATCTTTACCAGTGACATACAGGTCATCTATGAAATCGCCAGTTGCTGGAAGACCCTGTAATACCTGGTCCATGACATTTTGGAATAAAGCAGGGGCTGAAGCGACCCCAAAGGGTAATCGTGTATAACGATAAAGGCCCTTATGGGTGTTCACAGTCACATATTTCTTAGATTTCTCATCAAGTAACACTTGTTGATAGGCTTGTGATAGATCTAATTTGGTGAATTTCGTCCCACCATTCAGTTGGTTGAGCAAATCTTCTGGCACAGGCAAAGGATACTGAGACACCTCCAAGTCTCTGTTCACTGTCAGCTTATAATCCCCACATATCCTCACAGCGCCTGAAGGTTTGAGTATCGGTACAATGGGAGCAGCCCATTCAGAATATTCCACTTTCTCAATGACCCCAATCTTCTCTAGTCTATCCAATTCCTCAGCTACCTTATCCTGCAGTGCATATTGCACAGTTCTTGGTTTATAGAACTTTGGTTTTGCTCCGGGTTTTACAGACAGATGAAGCGTAACACCCTTCACAGTTCCCAAACTGCCATCAAATAATGCTGAATACTTTGACAACAACTGTTCCAAGTCCTTCTGGGAATTGTCAACTCGCACGGTATTGACTCTGCCAATGGAATACCAGTCAAGCTGCATCTGAGATAGCCAGTTTCTGCCTAGGAGCGCCGGTCCACTTCCTGTCACCACATATACAGGTAAAGTGATAGACTGTTCATTATAGTCAACATCCACCTGTATTTTTCCCAAAACAGGTAACTTTTCTGCAGTATAAGTCTCCAAGTAAGGCAGGTTGGTGGTTTTCAGCGGAATATGCCTAAAATCTCTCTTGTACTGCTCCTCCGAAATCAAAGTTACTCCAGCTCCAGTATCCAACTCCAATGAAATGTTTGACCCTTCAACACACATAGGAATGTAGATGGGCTTATCACCTGCAATAGATTTTACAGTGAATAAAGTATTACTCAATGTGTCCTCATAAGAGTCTGCATCCTCATCACTGCCATCAGGTAGCTCATGTTCCACTGTTGAATCCATATACCTGACTTTGGATGATTTTTTCTTAAGTTTTTCTGGTTTATGGGCCTTCTTCTCCTGTGGTTTCTCATGGCACCTCCTGCTAATGTGTCCTTGCTTCTGACAGATATGACATATGCTTTTCTTGTAATAGCAATTTTCACTGTTGTGGTTTTTCTTTCCACAGCGCCAACATTCACGGTTATCCCGAGACATCGATCCAACTTGCTTATCTGAATACTTCCGGTTCTTATCAGACTTCACTAGTACATTTACTTTATGACTAAACTCATTGGTCTCCTTATTCGCAGCTTCCATACTCAAAGATATTTCCATTGATTTCTTTAAGTTCAAATCCTTCTCAGCAAGCAATCTACGCTGCATAGCTGCTGAAGCGAGTCCACACACAAACATGTCTCTCATTGCATCATCAAGAAATCCACCAAAATCGCAATGTTCACTCAGTTTGCGTAGTTCAGCCATAAATGCACTCACTGATTCACCAGAGCGTTGTTTTCGCTGATAAAACTTGAATCTTTCAGCGATAACTAATGGTTTGGGATTCACATGGCTTTTTACGACATCAACCAATTCTGTATATGACTTGTCAGCGGGTTTTGCCGGTGAGACTAAAGTCCTCATGAGGGAGTAGGTTTCCTTACCTACTACGGTAAGCAATATCGCTTTCCTCTTCCCGGCATCTTCAACATCGTTAGCGACGAAATACTGATTAAGTCTTTCAATATACTCAACCCAGTCTGCATTTTCAGACACTGAAAATTCCCCCATTCGACCATATGTCGAGGACGCCATTTTTAACAGCACAGCGCACACTACAACAAGCGCTATCAGTCCCATTAACACAGAGCGAATGTTCGTCACCAACTTACAGATTGGTCTTCTTGGTACCACACATGTAGAATCCCATCCTCGTCGCCAAAATTGTAGTGTTCTTTCAATAACCAAGAGACAACCTGCCAACTTCCCACTTCGTTTATTTCTCATACGACAAGTGACAATCGGTAGCCAAGCCCGAGCACGCATTGCACGTGCGTTACGTAACAACGTTTTCCGAACCACTGATTACATTACATGAACGACTTCTGTTTACCATCAGAATTTATCAAACAAAACCCTAATATTTTACAGATACCAGACCCGATTACTTCAATATCTTCATCACTGATGGATTCTACATCCACCAAGAGGGTCACCCAGACATATTCCCATCGGATTTCATTGGTTTCTTTACCATTGATGAAATCTCTGGATCAGAATATCACACAAGGTGCCGTGAGAACGCTAGCTGTTCCTTCGAATGTAATGCTGTTGGGCGGGAAATTGAGTCAGTTGTCATGCGCAACACCGGAAATGGACGTGTCGTGGCTCCAGTCGAGGAAGTAAGCCAAGGTATGGTACACTGGACATCGTACAGACTTGACAACTTCACTCGGGCGGACCAGGGTAATTACACATGTACTGCCACTAATAGGAATGGCGTGACAAAGGAACGGATGATCTATATCAGTATCGAGTTGCCACCAATGGGAATGTTCTGACAAAGGAATCGATTGTCGATTGAGACATACGAGATTCGAAATGCATGAAAATCTGAAGACGCTAAACATACAAAATGTCATTCAGTTGGCGAATTTGCAGAAGGTGGTGGATAAGGTGGGCACGGAGAAGGTGGTGGATAGTCCCTCATACATGACGGACGACAATCCCCGATAACTCTTAAGCAAGTCTACAAAAGTTTGACAAATCTAGATCTCTTCAGTTTCTTAAAGTAAAGGTATTCCCTGGACTATTTCTGTGATATTTTAAGATACTAGGTAACTAAATCGATTTCCAAAACAAAATTTAATTTAATTCCAGATGTGTTCTACGTTACCATACATTTGGTTGTTTGATATTGGCTGATCAATAATTTGACAGGTTTATCATTTTAGCAAATAAAGTATATATACTGCAAAAGGAGAAATGAGTTGTGTTTACAACTTTGGACGTTTGACGAATCCTATGAGCACTTTTATGGTGCTTACAGACCACGGATAATAATTCTTGCTAATTAGGGATTCGAACACATGACCAGCTGCAGCAGATCCTGGCACGACCAAAGGCCGGAACAGTACAACACTTATTGGTGCGTTCAATGTGTTGTCATATGAATACATGTGGTATGGTCTCTATATTTAAATGATGTTCGAATAGACACCTGGTTTGGGCGATGCTAAATACTGCTCGCCTTTGCGCATGTGTTCATTTGTACAACGTGTGCAACCCTGTTTTCCTGTTTCACATTCAGCAATATTCCAGCTACATGACGGCGAAATATAAAATCGAGCCTGGACCAGACAATTCAGTGATCGATATTATGAGCATCGTACCATGACGTCGGGGTACAATGTCAAGTAATCAGTCAAGTCACCGAGCCTGACCACCCGATCCATTTTGTCGCCTCTCACGACCTGCATCCTCTAGACCCACCCTAACCGGGAATCCCGGCTGTATGAAAGACCTTGGGGGTCAAGGTCAGCATTTTAAAGCAGTCTCGAAAGAGATACTGCTAAGATAGGACTTGTACTTTATGCACTCCTCTACGAGGATTAATTGATAATTCTGCGCGTTCCTCACGTTTGTACACTCTCCAAATACATACTCAAGTGAATAAACTTACATATACAACCATTCATCCATACACCCAAACACAAACACATCCACACAGCCATATCCATCCATGCTTACATCCATACCACAACCAGTTTAAGGTGTATCGTGAAGACATCTGACAAGAGATGGAAGTTACCGAGCGATAGGCACTTCTCATCTTCCATCTGTCATGGATAACAACTTGCTTTCCATATCAAGCTGCCCAGGCCTGACCCGCGGACTATGAACTTTGCACCGGATAAGACAACAAAGAAGGAAGAAAGAAACTCAAGAAGCCACCTTTGGTTGGAATGCTGGAATGTTCGCCCATGATGATCGAATTGACAGTGGATCTCTGGAATGAGTGATGTACGCTTGATGACTGCAACATAACATCGCTATGCTACAGGAGCTGATCAAACACAAACCAGAAAGCACGGCGTCGGCTTTGCCATCATTGACTAAATGCTCAGAATGATAGAACCTGGCAAGGATGGTATGACTTCTGACCCTCCGACTCGTCCCATTTTCTGACACTCTGCTTCACACAGGAGGTGAAGGACAAGTTCTAGGTTTACGACCAGCTCCAGACCGTCATCAATAGGATCAACAGTCAAGTACAGCTGCTACTGCTTGGCGACTTCAATGAAAGAATGGGTACTGACCGTGAATCCTGTCCATATTATCAGGGACAATACGGAATTGGCAAGATCAATGAAGATGGACGGTTTCTCGAGCTGTGTCATGCTGACGCGCGCCTTTGAACCCTCGGCCAACCTCCACACAAGATCGGATTGGAAACTGTTCAATCTGCTCCCCTGAAGGCAAAAACCAAAACTTGAAGCCCACATCAGAGACATGCTTTTCGCAGACAATGCGACTCTGGCAAAGCAATCTACAAATACAAAGACAAGACACGACAAACGTGATGGACCAGAGTGTCAAGCAGCCTACAGCGATCTTCGTAAACGTCTACAAGCTGGAGGTGAACAAGTTAATCTACCTCGGCTCCACTATCACAGACAATATGTCCTTGGATGCTGAGATCAACAGGCGGATCAGCATAGCATCCGCTTGCCCTCCCTGCTAGTCAGATGAAGAGTTTGTGGAAGAGCAGCATGCTGACACCCTACACCAAGGTTGCTGTCTACAGATCCTGCATCTTAAGCACATTGTTGGACGGCAGCGAGTCTTGGGCCCTCTCTTCTCGAGTAGTGGTAGTCGGGTAGTCTGGAGGTTGAAGCGTTTGCTCGTCATGCCGAAGACCCAGGTTCGATTCCCGACAGGGTAAAATGTGAAGTCTATTTCTTGTGTCCCCCACCGTGATATTGCTGGAATATTGCTAAAAGCGGCGTAAAACAATACTCACTCACTCTTCTCGAGTAGAAAAGAAACATAATGCCTTCCGCATGCGAAGCCTTAGGAACATCCTCTGAATCAGCTGGAGTGATTGACACTGATGCTGAACACTGAAGTGCTGGAGGACGGGACAACACTGGAGTGCTGGAGGACGGGACAACACTGGAGTGCTGGGGGACGGGACAACACTGACGTGCTGGGGGACGGGACAACACTGAAGTGCTGGGTGACGGGACAACACCGAAGTGCTGGGGGACGGGACAACACTGAAGTGCTGGGGGACGGGACAACACTGAAGTGCTGGGGGACGGGACAACACTGAAGTGCCGGGGGACGGGACAACACTGAAGTGCTGGAGGACGGGACAACACTGAAGTGCTGGGGGACGGGACAACACTGAAGTGCTCGGGGACGGGACAACACTGAAGTGCTGGGGGACGGGACAACACTGAAGTGCTGGAGGACGGGACAACACTGAAGTGCTGGGGGACGGGACAACACTGAAGTGCTAGGGGACGGGACAACACTGAAGTGCTGGAGGACGGGACAACACTGAAGTGCTGGGGGACGGGACAACACTGAAGTGCTGGGGGACGGGACAACACTGAAGTGCTGGGGGACGGGACAACACTGAAGTGCTGGGGGACGGGACAACACTGAAGTGCTCGGGGACGGGACAACACTGAAGTGCTGGGGGACGGGACAACACTGAAGTGCTGGAGGACGGGACAACACTGAAGTGCTGGGGGACGGGACAACACTGAAGTGCTAGGGGACGGGACAACACTGAAGTGCTGGAGGACGGGACAACACTGAAGTGCTGGGGGACGGGACAACACTGAAGTGCTGGGGGACGGGACAACACTGAAGTGCTGGGGGACGGGACAACACTGAAGTGCTGGGGGACGGGACAACACTGAAGTGCTTGGGGACGGGACAACACTGAAGTGCTGGGGGACGGGACAACACTGAAGTGCTGGGGGACGGGACAACACTGAAGTGCGGGACAACACTGAAGTGCTGGAGGACGGGACAACACTGAAGTGCTGGGGGACGGGACAACACCGAAGTGCTGGGGGACGGGACAACACTGAAGTGCTGGGGGACGGGACAACACCGAAGTGCTGGGGGACGGGACAACACTGAAGTGCTGGAGGACGGGACAACACTGGAGTGCTCGGGGACGGGACAACACTGGAGTGCTGGAGGACGGGACAACACTGGAGTGCTGGAGGACGGGACAACACTGAAGTGCTGGAGGACGGGACAACACTGAAGTGCTGGAGGACGGGACAACACTGGAGTGCTGGAGGACGGGACAACACTGGAGTGCTCGGGGACGGGACAACACTGAAGTGCTGGGGGACGGGACAACACTGAAGTGCTGGGGGACGGGACAACACTGAAGTCCTGGGGGACGGGACAACACTGAAGTGCTGGGGGACGGGACAACACTGAAGTGCTGGAGGACGGGACAACACTGAATGACCTCCTGTACGGCTAACACAAGGGCACCTTGAAATACGCAAGCAAGCGGGACGGAGGTCACTGGATGTTCAGAGGTGGTGGGAACTAGCCGAAGAGAAAAAGGCAAAAGGATACAGTTCGATAGTTTTTTTATTTATTTAAAAACATAAGTTAACACCTGTATATGTTGAAAAGAAAATTGAGCTCTTATACATTAAGAAAAAAATGCTGATCTCCAATCTGAATCCCTTCCCCCAAGGAAAATCGAGTGGTTCCTCCCGAACTGATCCACACTGAAATAACACAGTTTTGAAACAATACCTGCAACGTCATATCAACCGGTCACGTGACAATCTGGCCCAGCTTCCTGGTTTATGCCTCCGTCATCTGCAAACGTCAATAAACTATATATTAAGTATTTTAAAAACCGTCCTTCAATCGTCAGGTAAGCGTAGCACTTTACGGCCGCTTCGAACGTGCCGCCACCATTACATCTGCACTTATTGGTGGTGGGTTTCTTATTATATTAAACAGAGACCCAATATTCCGAACGTTATAGTTCCCACCTCGTTCATGACAACCTCCGTGGAGATACAGGGAAATCAATTGTACCCGACATGGGCCATGTTATCACCCACTGGTTTGACAAAGCTGTTGATCCCCCCCCCCCCCCCCCCCCCCCCCAAGTACTGCACCAAGGTCTGCCAGATGGTCTGATTTCTGTGCAGGATGCCAGGATCATGTGGTACCTCATCTCAGTAATAGCCTAGCCATGATGGAAAAGTGAGTGACTGGGTATGATTTTACGCCGCTTTTAGCAATATTCCAGCAATATCACAGCGGGGTAACCAGATGTGGGCTTCACACATTGTTGTGGAAAAGAATGCAAGAATGCTGATAATGATCGTAAATAAATGATCGTACGACACCCCATGCATGTAGTCATATGAATCGAAATTTTTAATAATCATAAAATTGGATACACGGGGCTAATTGACGGCTATTACATCCACTAAAGATATATGATTCATCCGATAACGAGGTTAAATCATATTTAATGTTATAACAAAAGCTGGGAACATGGCGTATGGACCGACTGAAGATAACCGACAGCGTGGGGTTACACAACTTTATAGCATGAACTCAATGAGGAAGAAGGGAGGTTAGTTAAGTTTGCCGTAAAACAAGATTTCTTTATTGTTCTTCCCCTAAATGACATTTTCGTAGTTTTGTGTAAATAAATTTCAAATGCCACTAAAAATCAAGAGTTATCTATCGCCTGTATTGTGTTTGTCATTTGTTATTTACTTGTTTTTTTGCAAATTGTATTCAGCAGCTGTCAACAGGGATCGTACAATGACCTAGAAACGAGCCTTAATTAAAATGTAGTAGAACTTGCTACATGCTCAGTTGGTAAATATATTATTGCAGTTGGTAAATAATTAGAAAATTCTTTGAAAGTGGAATTGTAGATAGTAATCTCTGCTACC